CAAGGTATTTAAAATGTTTATTGAATTACGATGAAATTTAAATCCATTCCCCTTCCCTTTCATCCTTATATTCTTGTAATCCGACTGGATGGATATGTGTGGAATTACGAGATGCAGATTTATGATCTGATTAACATTCAATTTATAGATTTCTAACTAGCTTTTGTATTTAATAGCTACGCCTAATATCTATATCTATATATATCTATATCTATATATATATATATATATAGATATAGATATAGATATAGGAGAATACATGGTTCTCATCATTTAATTAATTAATTTATTGAGCAATTTGTTTTTCATTCTATTCATTCAGTGTTTTTTTCGTTTTTAGATTCTTCTTACTAATAAAAATAATGAATTGTGCAGATGAGATAATTAATTACTGCATTGTTGCAAATTAATTCCACGCGTGATCGCTTAATATCGTTTATATAATATCGCATATTATTTTGTGATCGATTAGTTTAAAAATTTTACTTCTATGCTTATAACTGATATTAAAAATGAAAATTTTTCTTTTAAAAATAAAAAATATTAACCAATTATTTCTTTTTTATTACCTTATGTATAATGCAAGATTATTATTATTATTATTATTATTGTTGTTGATAATACTGTAATTTTTTTAAAATCAACTGCTATTTAAAATAAAGAAAATGAATCATTTCGAAATTTCTATCCATTGTTTCCATAAGCAGTGGATGATAATTGATGGAAAATAAATTCTAATCGCCATTGATGGCAATAGCTATCCATTTTAATTTTAGTGCTTTTATTTTTAATAAATAATTTGAAGTGTAATTAGTAGTTTAATAAAAGAGAAGAAAAAACGAACATTTTCATTTCTCAAATACTAATTACTTATTGTTGAACCGATCTTCCTTAAATGATAAGTTATTATTGAAAAGTTATAAATTACTTTCGAAATAACATTTTTCTTTTTCCTCTCATTGTTTCAAATATTTCATTATGAATCTCAAAAAATTTACAATAAGTAATTTAAATAAAATTTTCAAATTTTTTCAAGTGAGCAATTTAACAGAAGAAGCTGAAGGGAAGTGAAGAAAAGTGCGCTTATTCAGCTCTTTGTTTAACAATTAATAGCTTATAGACTTAGGCATTAGTTCAGTTCATCTCCCATTAATCTTTCTTTTTCTTTTGAAGTTTTTCAAAATAATTCGCATCTTTAAATATTTTAATAATTCATCGATGTTAATCCATTCTAATTTAGCATTGTTTCATTGATTAAATATTAATTAAAAATTTTAAATTAATAAAAAAGTCGATCACATTGGAATTATATTGCAATTCATATATGTTAAGTTCGATATTTCACCGATAATTTGCACATTGAACTTTGAGTTTTCGATTAATTTCATTTCTTTCTCTTACCTTTTTCATTTAAAGCGTAAATTTTTATTTCATTAAAAAGATTAAAGAACTGTTTTTAAAATAATCAACGAAAATAAGTACAAAAGAGGAAATGATAAGGATATACTTAAAATCATTAATTAATAAATGAACAAACTAATTATAATAAGCAATGTGAATTTGTTCAAAATTAAAAGAAAGAAAAGTTTACAGTGAAAATTAATTTAATAAATGGGAAGTGATGATTGATTGTTGAAAAATCGAATAGAACTATTTGAGTAATAAAATATTCGATGATAAGGCAGCTGTTAATATTTTTATTACCATTCTTTTATTATTTCCAGCGTTTATTTCGTTCATTTCATTTTCATTCTTTCATATTTCAAAAAAAATTTTAAATCGAAAAAAGAGAGATGAAAAAGAAGAAAAGATAAATAAAACAATTTAGCAATTCAAAAGAATCCTTCATTCTTTATTGTTTTACTTTAATTTTAATTATTTAATTGCGTCAGATTTCAATAAAATTTTCAACTTTTTTTTTGTTGAATATTATTGAATATCATTTCTGAAAACTATAAATTGGATCAGAATTGGAATATATCAGAAATGAGTGAGTTTGTTGCTGTAACAAATAAAATGATAAATTATAGACTAAAAATAAATGCTAATCAAATGATTTGCTAAAGACGTCAAACAAATTGTCTATCACATTAAAGAAAATGATAAACCTTATCATATCGGACATTTACGACCTTTCTTAATCTAATTTTTCTAATTACCTTAGCTTATAAACTTCTATGTGACGTTTGTCTTAATAAGATTAAATTTTAATCAAGCATTATGTAAACATGTTAAATATATGAAATGAAGATTTTATGTGTTGATTGAAATGATGAAGTAATTATTATCAGCAAGGTGAATGCCAAATTTTTGATATAATCAAAGGATGAATAAAAGCTAAGTTCAGCTCTGCAACTTCTCATCCTTTGCCTTCTAACAGCTGTCCAGCCAAATGGCCCATACCAACAATAACAATATTACCATTCATTTTGTCTGCTTCATCCTTCTGCATTATCGTTGTTATCCTTTTTCCTCTTACATTACAATGATCTTGACTATCCTATCGATTTCTGAAATCCTTTTTGAATGTTTCAAAATTTTTGTGCTTATTGCTATTGCTATTGCTGTCACGTTTTGTTGCGTTAATAATTTGAATGGATTAATTAGGCATTTCCAACTTTTTACAATTAACTCTCACGGAATAATTTGGACTGCAAAAGGTCAAAATCAAAGAATTTCAAAATTTCATCTGTAACTTAATAGAACGATTAGAAAATAGAATAAAAGGGGGAAAGAGAAAAGAGATAACAAAAGGAGCGAGATGATTATAGGCAATATACTTATCAAATATTCATGTCCTCAATTTCCTGAATTATTCTGGTCGGATTATGAAACCAGTTGATATTTCAGCCAATATTTCTCATTATCTACATTTCCCCCTCTGTCATTTTCATTAACTTTAATTAACGCTGTTATTATTGTCACCTTTGTATTATTGTTATTGTTGTTGCTATTGCTATTGAATAATTATATTGTTATCACCTATTGTCGTAGTCATTATAACATTAATTTCGATGTTTTTAATGCTTTTATCGTCGTCATTATGGGCCATATATGTTGTAATTATTGTACCGATGGTTTGCTTTCATTATCATTTCAAATATCATTGCAATATTTTTTCATATCTCTTTGAATTTCTCTTCTCTTTCCTGAATCAAAACACCAATTATATAAATTATTATGATCAAGTACATTTTTATCAGATAGGTAAAAACAATTTATTCCAACTTCTAAATATGTTAGTAAATTTGTGATGCATAATCTAATTAGTGATGCATAATCGAAGAGCATCTATGGACAACCAACCGAATTGAACAATTTTTAAAATTTTATATACGTGTAATTTTTTCGTTCAAAGGTCAGCTAACGAAAGCTTTTTGCAAACTAATGCTCTTCGCCATAATCTGATATCTAATTTCTTTTTCGCAACAAATAGAAGTTAGCAAGTTGGTCATTGAAGAAACTTTTTTTCTTTTTTGACATTCCTTTTCAATTTACCGTTTAAAAAGAAATTTGCATTTCGAATATAAAGATGTAGTTGTTTTCATAATTGAGAACAGCTATACATACTTCTTCAATTACAGGTAATTCAGCTATAATTTAAATTTAAAAGTTTGAGTAATACAAAAAAGGAACAGCAGTATGACAGTAAGCAAATCAATTATAGGAACAATAACATTAAAATAGCATAAGTTAAATAACTTTCTTGAATAAAGAGATTTCCTTTTTTTCTTTTGATATTAAGTTAGTCGTTTAATCATAATTTAAGTATCTTAAAAAATTATTATACTTTAATGGATCGCATTAGAGGGAAAAGTGCTTATAGTTCAAAAATTTTTTGAACTGTACAGTCATATCTATTTAAAATAGTAATTAATGATTAACTGTTAAATATTTCGATCTTTTTAAAATTAAACTGATTATCTCTTGTTTTTTTGCTGCAATAAAATTAATTAGAAATTCAAAAAATTTGTTTAAGAAAAAAGTTTTATATGTTAATGATTTAAATTGTATTCAAATAAATTTTCCAATTTAAAAAAAGTCGAAATTTCTTCAGCTCACTAAATTTATTGTTTTTGAGTACCAAAATTCGAATTTCAATTTGAAAATTTTTGATTTTTTGAATAAGAAGATAAGAGTTTGGAAATGTATTTCAAATTATTAGCATATAAAAAACTTTTTTTTTGAAAATAAACTTAACATTTTCAAACATACATTATATTCTTGACAGCTAAGTGATTTTATCCAATTTGCATTTTCATTCTATACTAATTTTGATCAAACTTTAGCAATATTCTGGCACGAACTAATTATGCTAAATTATATTTGCTTGTTTAATCAAAATTTTCTTTGTTAAAAAGTTTTTTCAACATGCATAAAAATTTCTTAAATTTATGTGGAGATCTGTGCAATCTGAAGATCGTATCATAATAATTCTATGCTATCAATACTTCTAATGCTACCAAGGAAAAGCACACATCGTATTATTCAGCTGAATTGATTTATAATATCACAGAAATAAATGAATCTAATCGTTTCATTTCTTTTTTTCGTTAGGCTCTTTTATGATATACCATCTGTATGATTTTAATTTTCATTAAAGCATTCATATTGAATTTTAACTGTGATTTAAAAAACTATAGTATTATATATTTATGATGTAAATGTAACACGCAACATTAACGTATCTGCATGCATGCACACATATTATTAGCACATCTGTATATTATATTTCAAGAGCAAGTCTGTTTTTATAAGCTTTTTTGTAATGCATAAGTTGTAAAAATTCATAAGTATAATTTCAATTTATATTGAATTTTGAACAGAATGCAAAATTGGATCATTTGTGTAATTTGAATGCAAGCAGTATAGGAAACGTGCATGTATTATTAAGGATTCACGTTTTAAAACTAAAACGGTGGTAGTTGTAATTCATTGAATTTTGATTTATTTTACATCCTTTTTAGATGAGAATAGTATACGTCTTACTGTATGCTTTAATGTACAGTAGCAGTACACGTTGGAATATGCTGGCACAACAACGGAAAGCGTTTGTTAATCCACAAAGTGAATGTCGCATTAAATGTCTCAACGGTGGATTTTGCGCATACTTAGTTGATAATCCATCGATACATACGTGTCTCTGCTTACTTAACGTCTATTATGGTGATCGATGTCAATATGCTGGTACGTCAAATTAATTTCATCAGCTTATCATCAATATAATGATGCTATATCATTTCATCATTTAGAAAGATCAGTTTAGATAGCAGTCATAGCAACTATATAAATTTCTAACTAATATCACTTTGCCACTGTATGTCTTCGATAATTTTTATCATCAGATGAGAATGCTACGTATAAATGTAAATTGTCTTTCTTGCAGTTTAATGAATAGTTAAATAGAATTTTCAGACGAATTAATCTATGTAGTTTAGTTTAAAAATTCGTTGTTTTGTTGAAAGATAACAGTTAGAAATCGGGAAAATCTTTAGAAAATTAATAAGCTTAATTTCCAGATTTATCTTTTGTTTTTCAAGAAAAATTCTTTTTCTTCAATTGAATAGTTATCTTGAAGTTACGGAAACGACAACGTTAGCAACTGATTCCACTGAGCGTCCTCGTTTGCATCATTCCGGACGGGAACAATTCGAAATTGGACATCAAAGATACGAAGTATCATCACCGATCCAAACTGAAAAAATTTCCAGTGATGAAATAACCAAATATGATGAGATATCACAATTTGGATACACGAAAGTGTATCAAGTAAAAGAACCAAGTGAGTTAATTCTAAGTGTTTATCGATTTTATTCACTTAAGTTTCCTTTCTATCCGAAAATATAACGTTATTGGTAATTCGTTTATAAATTATTTTTGAATTGTTAAATCAGTTGGTGCGAAATGATTTGTAATAATTATTTCTTCTTTATAACTATCAATCACTCCATCGGGCAGCAATTTCTTGTCAATTAATGATCGGTAAAACATCTTATCCACACCTCAATTAATGCATCTGTAATATAACCATATTGTCACTTTTCCAATTCTTATCCAACAAATTACCTGACCTCACAACCGTATAAATTTTACTTAAAGAAGCGTTAATATAAGTTTTCAACTAATTACTTCCGTTATCATTCGAATAGCCTTCAAAATTGATTAATATTGACCTATGATCTCTTGAAATGTGTGACCGAAAGATTGACAGAAGCAATAAAATTAAATCTATAAATATAAGAAATAAATTTAAATGGAAAAAATCAGAAAGGGAAGAATAAATTGTAAATTTTTGTTGCATTAAATCATGGAACCAAAACAAACATTTTTTCTCATTTGACGACGCAATTTAAAGTGTTATCACTCAAGCATGATAAGCTTTTATCACCTATAAAGCTTATTATTCATAACTTGTACTCAAATAATAATTTTGAAACTGTTCGGTTAGTAATTAGCTCGAAAATTATATATTATCATTATTATCATCATTACTATCTACTCATTATTTACGGTTATTGCATTATCAACAGCTATAAATATTAATTGGAAGATAATTAGAAACTTCAGTTTTGAAATTTTCAAAAATTAATTTAAAATTTTTCTTTTATTCTATCATTAGGATCCGTTCTGCATTAAAGAGATGATAGAAATATTCCGATTTAAAACCATTTTTTCTCTCTCTCTTATAGCAATCTGTTGAGAAAATATGATAATCGTTTTTCAATTTTTTCACTGCAGAAAGGATTACATCAACTGAAGAAATAAAAACGGATGAAAATGATTATACGGAAGGTTGGGATACTACGATTGGTGACGATGACGAATATTCCTACGACGATCGAGCTACCGATCCATTAGGTTTCTTAATACTTTATTTGTATTTTTCGAAACAATAATTCAAACAGTAAAGAGATAACAATCAAAAAAAATTTATAACAAGATGGTTCATTTATTCATTTATTTATTTGATTTTTTGAAGATACCGTAAGAAGTGAACCATCAATGCCAGTATGGTTACAAGAATCGGATGATTACCGTACGGTAACAGGACAAGGAAATCCACAGCGAATTTATTTGAATAAAAAGAAAACAGATCAAATGGTGACACGTGTGGATAAAGATAAACGAATGAAAACTGATGAAGAAACATTAGCGAAATGGACAATCGAAAACGATAATTCCGATAGCCAAGAATTAATGGCGGAATCAGAATCCATGGATGAAGGTTGGATGATAAGCAAACGACGGCGTGTTATTACGAATAGTGCTGCTGTTATCACTAATACTTCATTAAAATCAACATTCTTCCTCATTTTCTTTGTTATGCCTCTATTAAGGTGGTAAAAATTTGTTTAAAATGGCATCAAATTGAAAAAAATAGGCCTAGCTTTCTCAGAAAGAAACAGAAGAGAGAATTAAATTCGGATAAATTTTTAGTTTTAATAATTGATGAACACAATTATTGCTCCTTTCTTTTTTTCATAAGGTCGTTGACCTCAAAATGGAAAAGAATAAATACAGCAAAATAGGATAGAACTGAATGAAATTGAATTCATTACCAAAATTAAAGATTGAATTAGATTGGACTAATTAGTCGAACGAATTCCCGAAAAAAGACCTTTGAGGTTCATATTATATTTTAGTTCAAACCGGTTAAATTTTAGGATCCCCAAGTTTTATCAGAAATTGAAATAAATAATAAGATTTGTCCTACAAAGGCATTTCTTCAATCCCAAAGAAGGATAATTATTCTACCTTTGCCACATTGCATTAAGCATATGTCAATCATATCATTAAAGTTTTAAGAATTACAATTTAAAATTTATGACAATTGACAATTTAGCAAAATCCTTCAATTTTTTAATACATTTCATACAGGTTCTAATTTTTCCTTTTATTATAATATAATGATAAGAGGCACATATCATATCAAAAGATTGTAAATCTATGATAGAGTGCGCTTTCTGAGTGATTAAGATTTAATAAAATTTTAAATTTTCTGTATAATTAGTAATAATTGTTGCTGTAATAAGAAATTTCTCATTTTTGCTTACTTATAAATTGAACAGTTAATAATAATGTTATTGCCAAATGTTCAAAGTTCTTTTTCCGTTATTTATTGTTTATCTTAGTATTATTATCAGTTATCAAATTTGTAATTATTTAATTGCAAACTACGTTCTCTTATATTCGTTCAGTTATATCAAAATTAATTCTATTCAAAATGCAAATTGAAAAGTTAAAAATTTTTCAATTAATTAAAATTAAGACCAAAAAAGACAATATATGTTCTTTATCAACGATACTTTCTATCGTTCCAAATTTATACAATTCATTTTGATAGTTTAATATTTTGAGGAGTATTAATTATTCATATTTTCTGTTAATATATATTAATTTCCTCTTAATTTAGTTAGGTATGGATTGAATAATAATTAATAATAATAATAGTGATAATAATAATCATAATTAATAATAATAATAATGAGTATTTGATTGTATAGTTTGAGATTTATAAGAATTTGCAAAATTTTGTTCCAATAAATTGGTTTTTATAAGAATTTGCAAAATTTTTTAAGAATTTTGCAAAAGATTTATAAGAATTTGCAAAATTTTATTCCAATAAATATTTAATAATTGTTGTTAATTGGGTAGAAATTTTTCGTTTTCGGCTAAAAATTCAATTGTAGTAAAATGAATTTTTCCTTTTCTTCACTGCTAAATATTCGACAATTTGTGATATAAACAAACGAAGAGAGTGTTGTAAAGAATGAAAAGAAAAGAAAGAAAGAAAGAAAGAAAAGAAAAGAAAAGAAAGAAAGAAAGAAAGAAAGAAAAGAAAAGAAAAGAAAAATTCATTTAATCATAAAATAATAAATTTGCATATCTGTCACATTTAAAAGATCGTTTATAAAAGCTATCTATAATTATAAAAAAGAAGAAAATTGATCTCAACACTCACTCTCTACTCTCTCTCTCTCTCTCTCTCTCTCCATTCGATAGCTATTATCATTGTTTATTCATTTATTTTCTCTCTCATTCATTTATTGCTAATTTATTATTTGAATTGGAAAATTTGAAACAAATATTTATATAAAGTTATTAACCATACTCAATGTCAATGTTTGTTTCTTAACTCTATTTGTTGATGATAATAAAATAGAAATGAGTAAAGAAATAAAGAAAGATATTAAATCGCCGCTCTCTCTTTTTAATTGAATTTTGCTTTCTGATAAAAATGATAAGTATGAGAGATAAAATGAAATGTTTAATTAAGCCATTGTATTGTCACATATTGTAAAACAATTAAAAAGAGAAGAAAAAATGGTTAGCTAAAGTTAATTAATGAATTTCAAATAATCATTGATTTGAGAAGTAAAATTTTTACGATTTTACTGAGACGAATTTATGAAATGGTTTAAAATAGAAGTGAGAGGTTCCCGTTGGAAGGAATGATGCGAGTAATAACCGCACGTCTATGGAATTCTCATCATTAACAGTTACAGTGCCCCCTCGATCGAAGAGACAGGCGGGGTTTCATCAAGAGAAATTTACATCTTAACTCCTTTCCTCATCGGTAAGAAAAGTATTGTCTACGCAGCGGGCAGGATTCGAACCTGCGCGGGCAGAGCCCATTTGATTTCGAGTCAAACTCCTTAACCACTCGGACACCACTGCACAGACTAGCTAGTCCCTCAATGTTTCATTAACGAACTTCAAATATTTTTCGGATTCAGTTTTCCCGCAGAAACTGATGATTATGTAATTCATTCCGATTGGAAAATCGATTATTTTCCTTTTGGTTCTATAAAAAACAAACCAGCAAAAGATTGCGAAATTAATCAAAATGATGAACTGAATTAAGGAGAGCTAAATCAATCGCATTACTTTCAGATAAGCCTATGTCGCCATTCCAATTCAAACTTCTTAACCATTTAGACATTGCTGCCAGCGCGTCTAAAAATTTTTGATGATGTTGAAATTTCGTGATATTGATTTCTATTCACTAAAGAAGCATTTATTTCAGAATTTTGAATAGAATGAATTTTCGTTAAACTGAAACATTCATTCATGCATTGTTTTTATTATAATCATTTTAGTTTTTTATCATTTTTTTTGATTTCTTCTTATTGCTACCGAATATTTTATGAGTGTCCCCGGTTTCGATTATGTCCGGTTTTCCGGAAGTTATTTTATCGTTCTTATTTTTTCTGTTGTTTTTACATTTTGGTGAATTGTTAGTTTTATTTCTTTTCTTTTGATTTTTAATCGTTTTGAATCTTTGCTTGTTTATTTATATTTGTCTTTTGTCTTTCTTAATTATTTTTTTCGCTATATTTCTTAGAGAATTTAAGGATAAATTTCTTATGGATCGTTATTGTCGTTGTATTGACGAAATAGTTCCTAAATTTCCTTTATTTTGATAATTTCGTTTTTGGTTTTAATTATTTTCTCTTTTTTGGGACTGTTCGCTTTTTTGTTTTTTATTTGAATATGTTTCGAATTATCATCGTATCGCTGATCTTTTAATTGGTTTTTATTTATTTCTTTAGTTTTCTAATATTACTCTATAAGCGTTTTCATATTATATTTAATTTTTAATATTATTGATTATTATTGATTGATTGATTTTATTGATATTATTGATATTATTGACAGATTTTCAGTTTTCTCATTTGTTTTATGTTATTTTTTGTTTTCCGTTTGAATTTTTGCATTTTGAATTGTGTTATTTGATGAAGAATTTTCGTTATTCGTATTTTTCATATTCAATTAATTATGATATTATTCAGAGCTAAATATTTTGATTTCATTCCAACAGTCGAATTAGAAAATTAAAAGCTTAATTGGAACGTTTCAATCTGACCAATAACTTCGTTTGAAATCTATTAAAAGTTAAATCCTTTCTTTCACCCAATAATAGAGTAAGTGTTAAAGTTTGCATTGAAAGATACATTTTGAAAATGATGAAACAAGCGAGTGACTCTCAGCCCTGTGTGATAAACTTGATAACAGCGCAACGGGCAGGATTCGAACCTGCGCGGGCAAAGCCCATTTGATTTCTAATCAAACTCCTTAACCACTCGGACACCGCTGCATGAGTGCGAGTGACTATGTGAAGTGTTTGTGTTAGATTTGTCGAGAGCAGTTCGATTAATTCAAAGTACAACAGTATGGAGTTACCTTTCAATTATGATTATCACTATACCATTGTAATAAATGGAGATGAATTCGCTGCAAACAGTAGCGAAGGTATTGTCCCCTCTTCTAAAACTTTCAATAAGTATCATATCCTACTTGCTCAATTAAATAATGCAGGTAAGCGTTGAATATGTGTATGCCACTTCTAGCAAGCAGGATTGGCGCTGTTGAATTCAAATAAACGTTTTCCATTAAGCGGTCATCCATTTTCAAGATTTATCTAACTTTCAAATCTATTCTTAACTCTTTTATTCTTGAGATAATTTCAGAACCATCCTAATGCTGCTTATAACTTAAACAACTAATCATGACATCTATTCTACTCGTTTAACACTTATGAAAACTACCTATATAATATCTATGTCGAGAATCTTCCTCTTTCTCTCGTAATTAAAGTAAAACTTGTTACAATTACAGTGCTACAGTAGAAATGCATTTTAGATCTATGCGATGTGATCCATTTGTTCTTCTCATAGATTTCTGAGATAATTTAAGAGAATATATTTTGATGGAAAATTATGATGAATATTTCATTTCCAAGCTTATGTAAAAATTCATTTAAATATACTTACTTCAGCCAGATATTTACTGCATGTAAAGATATGCTTGTTTGATAAAGGAAAAATGTCTCACTTATTATGCAGTAGTAATGGCAGCAAATCGATAGATAAAAAAATGATGCATTTTACAGAATTGAAATTATTGAATGACTCATGCACCACTAATGATGCATCGATGTATACACCTCGAACTTATCATGATAACAAAAGTTATGATGGCATGACATCCAATGAATCATTCCCCACTATAATTTTATCCCTTATAAGCAGTAATTGAAATCATCATTTCGTAATCAAACTGGCGATGTTCATAGAAATAAGGAAAAAAATATTTTCATGTTGAGAATTTTCATATGTAATTTAAAATTCAGGAAGGGAACTTATAATAAAGCGACATGTAATTAACAGAGCAACCGTAACTATTCCAACTATTTACAAATCATTGTTTGAAGTGAACTGCCTTCTTCACTTGAGCTCAGTTCATGGAACCGCTTTACCCTTCGGAAGCTATGTCAGATAATTTGAAAAATGAGGTACTCGATGAAGAAACTTCTCAAATGTTGCGACCATGTTATACAGCACACGCGTTCTGTTATCGGAAGAAATTACTAATTTTGGGATTAACTTTTACCAAATTTCAAATGTAAGTTTCTGATAATCATGAATGAGTACTTCCTACTAAATAAATATCTCATAAAAACTTTGTAAAAAAGCAACCAGTTATTACAGTAATTGAGCTAAAACAGAAATGAAGGTAGTTATAAGTATATTTCTGACCTTTTCCAAGTTTGTTGACTTGTCATCTTCGTTATTCCAGTCGTTTAATCGGAATAAATGTTATACTTAATCGATGTGTAATCGGAAACAGCTATTAATAGTCTACTGATTCATGAATAATATACTGAGAAAGACGCAAAACAAAATTCCATCTCCAATTAATACTACGATTTCTCATTCAATACAAAAAAGGTATGACAGCAATCGAACGAATGCAATTAGTCTGTTTCCATGGAAGAGAAATAAATAAACGACAAGGCTTTGTGTAAACTACTTAAATATATTCATTTAAAAGTCTTTTAGTAATTATAACGAAACATTCATCAGACTAGAATCATTACATTGATCATTCAGAATTAAGGGGTATTTGAACATTCTTAAAAGCATAGGAGTGAGTGGTCTTTGTGAATTCGATGTGTAGGTGAACCGTATTGAATGATCATTCCAAGTGTCCCGAAATATAGGCCATCTATTTTAGTTTGCATATCTAATTGTTCGACTTCTCCATATAATAGCTTCCCAGCAAGAAAAAAGAAACCTGCATATCATCTTGGATTGAAAATCTATTTCAAAAAATTTGCGTTTCAGAACAAAAGCAAATGAGGATGTTGAAGTTATAGAACCGAAGAAGCATTGAAAACAGACAAAAAGTTCCATCCGAACTGCAAGAAATGCATGGAAAGCTATGGAATTACCGCCCTCACAGGTACAATGAATTTCTGAAAAATTTTTTAATCTTTTTTTTTTGAATTTACAATTTTTTATCACGTTAAGCATTCATAGCAAAATGCAGGGAGCATTCAGGCACAGCAACAAATTTTATTAAGCTTATATAAAAATGTTGCAGATATTGATTTGGAATTAAAATTTGAAGGTTTAAATCTTGAGAATTATGATGACGCATCGAGCAAAATCATCCACTGGCCCTTATTTAACTTTATTACATTTAGTCTCTCTTAATTTTAATAATTGTGAGAAAGATAGAAGAACTAACTCCCGTAAACTTGTCAGGAAATAATCATAACCTCGGACAAATTATTCTTTTTTTGATTAAAAAATTTTCAACCTAAACTTCATTGTCTTCTCAAAAGATAATCCAAGCAGTTAGTTCCAGAACTCTTCGACTAGCACTGTGCAAAACTCAAACCTAATATTGTTTCTACATTTAAAAAAGTTGCAACAAATCCTTTGAATTTATAATTCAAAAACAACTTCGAAATCTTGCTATTAAATTTTTTTTGAAATTTACTAACTACATAGTTAACAACCAATTTATAGAATGTAAGCAATGGGCACTATATATCAAGGACGGACGAGTCAATGAGGCAATGATAAGGGAACATTATTAATCTCTTACAAAGAAAGTGATCCGTTTCAAACATTATACAATATCGACGAAGATATTCACAAAGCTTTTAAAATAAATTACAGCGTTTTTAGAAAGAAGCAAATAATAATCAAACAATGCAAAATAAACTAGAAACATGATGAAAGCAGCAAAAAAGGAGAAATCTGAATTTCCTAACATGAAATTTTAATTTTAAGTTCTAATCTTAATTTCACAACAAAAAGCATATCTAAGTAACGAAATATGCTATCATGAATTTAAAGAATTTTCCATAACAGTTTTCAAAACTTCACTGGGAACTCTATTGCTAATAATTTCAAAAATCATAAGCAAAAATGAGCCAGAAACTGCAGCACAATGGAACTCATTTATACCGCAATAACAATAAAGCATAGCGTTGAAAAGAAAGTGAAATCAAAAGTTAAACAATCAATTAGTTAATTTAAAATAAAAATAAATCCATTTAAACTTAGCAAAAATAAAGCAAAAACTTCAATGACAAACCTGTAATTATACGAAAATGATCAACCCAACTTTTCGTATCTGCAGATCAGATATGACCACGAAAATTAAAAAAAGGAACCAACCTTAAACAGTTCAAAAATGTCGAAAGCACAAACGATGAATAAGGGAACCTGCTGTAGCAGTTATATCAAAAATTTAATTATACGCATCAAAACGACTGAAACTGGTTATTACGTGACACGAAAATACGCACGAAAATCCTCGAAATAATAATTTTTTGCGGATTTTGATGGTTGGGATTTGTACAACAACATAAAAAGGTACTGGATTGATAAATGAAATGCAAAATACATAAGCAAAAATAAAAATGGAACTTGCTTATTTCATTGAAACTAGAAAAAAAATCAAGAAGAATCTAGCAATAACCAAATAAGCCTAATTGGTTAAAAAAATATATAAAATATATACACCGAAAATATAGCAGTAATTATTTAGGAAACAAGATAATTAGTAAAAGCACTGAAATTAGAAAGATCAAATTAACAATTAATTTTTCAAAGCATTTTTTGCTGTATGAAAAAAATCTTAAAAATTGGATAAAGTATTACGTTGATTCCATAATTATAACAATTAATTTTTCGAGCATTTTTTGCTGTATGAAAAAAATCTTAAAATTGGATAAAGTATTACGCTGATTCCATAATTATTCGCAAACTCCTTGGGAATCATGACAGCCACTGCTCGGTCCATGATTTCAGAATATAATTTTATCGTTAAGAATAAAATATGTCCCCAAACATGTATCCACGGATTTATCTATAAGATGAAACCAGCTAACAATTCAATAAAAAATAATAAAGAAGGATAAGAAGTTTGAAATTTGAAGAAACTGGAACAAAACAAAAGTTGTGTGATCGACACAGATTGGGAATCATAATGTAAAGCAGAGAGAAAATGCCGAGGATATTTTGATCGGTTAGATCGAATATCTTCCGAACTATTAAAAAAACATCATCCTAACAAACAATATGATGAACCATGTTGAAAAATAACGATATAACAAATTACTTTCAACAAAATATTAAGCTAATCCCTTTATTACCAACCGAATGTGTTAAAATAAAACAGTTGGTGCACCACCAGAAAGATGATCGAAAAGGAAACGACGAATCTCGCTTTGCATGAATCTCCTTCCTAGATCAATTAAGTATCAGGATTTACTTTTCGATGTTCAATTAATTTCCGTATCTGAAAAAAAGTTCTTTATTTAAAAATTACCGAAGTTCAAATTCATCTGCCATTAATTATCACAACAATTTATTCAACTATTTTCAAACGCTTAATTTAAAAAATAACCCTTCACATTAAACAGTCCATATTAGTAGCTTTTTAATTCGATATGTAATTAATAAATTCTTTCATTGTTTCTTTTCACTAGAAACTCCATTAATTTCATAGATTCTTACAATTTTTACCAGCTTAGTCACATCTGCATACATCCAGTTTTAAATGTGACGATTTAATTTAACAAAAATACATATTTGGCAATGAAAGATCAAAAATAAAATACATGTCAGGATAATGGACGTTGCCCATCAATATTGTTATCTGGAGGCTTTGTACTCAAGTTAGGGAAAACAACAGAATTTAATAGAAAATTATTATGAAAAAAAATAAAACCAGCACAAGTTAAGCTAACATACGTATCCTAACTCCGAAAGTGAATTGGAAAATTTTAAATTATCCAAAGAGTTAGAGCCTTAAAGATACTTAAAAGCTTAGAACGTTGGAGTTTAAACCAACAGTCATGATGTCTAACGAGAGTATATGAACCATTTTTAATGCCATTAAAACATATCATCGAAAACAACCAAAATATAAGAAAAAAAATTTTTCAAAAAAAATTTCGGTTAAGGAAATATAAACCACAACGAAGATCGGTATTTATTAGATGAAGTTAGATGCAGAATACGAAAGTGAAGATTTCACTCATAAAATAAGTAGATAAAAGTAGCAAATTTTTCCTAGCCACGTGATGCAGTCGAGTAGTGGTTAAGAAACTGTTAATACTGATAACTCTACAAAAAATTTAAAGAGGATTACGACAACTAATAAAGAAAATTCGAGCATGGCGTTTAACGAGTACAGTGAAAATCATCATCTGTAATATTTATTTAAACGTTGAAATGGAAGTTTCAATGTTTCCATAAATATCCCAGATAGTGAAGATTTTCCTATATTCGTACTTCAATCCCAGAATTTTACAGTAGACGCGCATTTAAGAAGCGGTTATTGCTAATTAAATTGATGCGAAGTACAATACAATATATTTTCCTCAATAGAAAATATATTTAAATGTAATGTGGCTTATCTGCTTATTTAATATAATTTCGAATGTCAAATATTTTACAGTTTCATTATATTTTGATAATTATCCAGAGTAATAATACTGCTGTTGAATTTTTAAAACAGTATCTAAATCCTCGTATATACCTTAAAACAGATTTTATCTTTCTCTGCGATAATCTCTTTGCCGCCCTTTAACTGCTCATGCATTAAAACGAAAAAATATGCTGAATTTCAAAACGAGTAACACAAAGGATAAAAACGAAAGATGTAATTTTGTATTTCCAAAATTATTATAATTTTTATAAGTTGTGGCCGATATCAGTATGAAGTTCAGTGAGTAAATTAAGAAAAATTGAAAGCTTTAGAAAAATCTAGTTTTAATGTCGAAATGGAATCAAGCTCACCTCACATCCTTCATGTATCCATCGCTGCCGTTCTGATTCAATTAGTCCTTCAATTTTACATTCATCCACCGCCATCGTCTTATTGATATAGCCATACAATACTGCATACAGTTCGGGTATCATTTTTGGGGTCAAACAGAGACAGAACAGAGGTGAAAGAAGCTGACAAATTGGAAAATAAAGCGCTGTGGCATCTTCTGGGAAGCTAAATCCATGGAAACGGCTTTCTGATATCCGAAAACCATTATCCTGATATAAATTCAGTGCCGTATACAAGATTTCCAGTTGTTTTTTCATTACACCAGTGAAGAAGAATCGTGAAAATTCATGCATCGGGGTAGAACTGATTTCTTGAGCGTCATATATCAATCGATAGCACAAAATGTTGTGAAATATAAAATGGCGAAAAAATGACTTCTGCAAAACAGTACTACTACGGCCTTCCAAATGAGCACAGTGATAAGTTGTAAAAGCTATCGTTGCCTTAAACTGCTGCAAATTCATTTGTATGCAACTTAATCGGAACTCATCGCGCGGCCAATTTGCAAACGGATTTACGGCTCCATCCAATGATTCCTCTAAAATTTGACTTAACTTGCTGCAAAAAGTAGAAGCCTTCAGGGTTAATAATTGAAATCCGCAGAGAAGTAATCGCAAATTAAAAAGCAAAGATTCTTCCAAATCGTTCTGAATAAGCTGCTCAACCAAATTTCGAGCATCTTCATGATTGTCGTTTAAGTTCAACAACATCACAACGGTATTTACAATACCATTAACAGATTGCGGTACAGACGGTGGATATCGCGAAATGATTGATTGCACTGCTCCATCCCAATCATAACTATTTCGTTCCAATTCAAGCGGCCATATGAAATGTGAGAAATATGGCTCACCACTTCCTTCATCTACTAAACCAGTATACAAAGCCAAAAGCATTCGAGGCACAATATCATCCAATCGTATTGGTAAATTAGTATATAAATATAGATTTGTTTCAATAAGCATGGTTAGGAAACTGCAACTTGGGATGATTTTTGCATTCCTATCATACGTTGAACCCGACTGATACGATGGTATTTCAAAAAAATTAACAAGCTTCAGAAGCTCATCGTGATACCACTGCCAAGATGTCGTACTTGAAGAAGGTTGATCAACGTCATTCCAACATTTTGTATTCGTCAAATCAACAACAAATGGATCATTTGTAAAAGAAGACTCATTAAGGGGATAAATTTGAGCACAATCTGTACCCACCAATGGTATTTTCTGTAGTGCATGCACTGTCACACTATTCGCCGCTACTGCAGCCGACGGTTGAGATTCTCGTGAGCCATCAACAAATTCGTTTGCATCCATACCTTCGTGATTTGCTGTTGTACCATTCTGCGTCAATAACCGATGAATCTGTCTGAAAGAAAAAGATATTAGGCCCAATTTCATATGAAACGAAGAAGGTTATGTGAAATTTCGAAATATTTCGAACTTCAGGAATCGGAACTTTTTTGCCAAAATCTTGAAGTAACATAAAAAACTTCTCTGAAGAAAATAATCATTAGTAAAATCAAAGTAATAATAAGAGCTGGACATAATTAAGCAAGATCCGAAACTTACCTGTCAATACTTTCTTCCACGTTATTATTTGAGCTGGTCTCGTATTTCACGGATGCTTGAAAATCTATTGGATTGTACTCATGTGGCTGCTTTCTGAAAAAGTTCTTTCGAAACTGTCTCGAAAAACAATGAAGTCTCAGTCTTTCATAACGAAAGTTAATGATCAAAAATAGTTCAATGATGGGATTGTTCTGTGATTCATTATGTATACAACGAGATTCAAAAACAATACAAAAAAGCTAAGCGTGTTATCCGTATATAATTGTACTTAATTCATCAAACCCATCCTGAAGTGCACTCACCATCCACATAATGTGCTGAAGATATTTTCAATTAATAAGACTCCACACTACTGAATATTCTATTCCTTGACTGCAATACAGAAAATGTTGTCTAGTACTGTCTCAAGCTCATCGTAACGTAAGATACTATTATGTTATTTGCAAAAGAAAATCAGAGGTGCTAAACAAATTAGTAATAAAGATAACAATAAATTTAAATTAAACAAAAAGAAAAAACAGGAAAGAGGGAAACTAAAACAGGAAAGATCCCAGAAAACTAACTGGAGAGAGTCAGGCAAGAAAGGCTCTACAAATTTCATCGCAGAATAGAATGAAAATCTTGGAACATAAGGTAATGAGTTTGATCTCAATTTTTTCAGCGTATTTCGCTCCCTTACAAATCGTCCCTTCAGACAGTTCCAACGTTCACGGCATTTCTCACCTGCAACATTTCTATTAATTTATGATTACTGATGTTATAACACAATGAGATGAAAACCTTCAATAAAAACAGATTCAGTGGGAAGAGGAACCAAGAATTGAGGCTGTAACAACAATAGAAATGATTGCAGTAGCAACAGGTAACCAACAATAAGATCAAATATGCAGAAGTTATTGGACTTATTAAATTTTCAGTACTTTGTACTTCCCTTTTTTGTACTTAATATATTGAATAACATAAGTCTTGGGTAACTTTCTTGTAATACTACTAACGGCTTTCCCGATAACTCGACAGAATTCCTTATACGAACAGAAAGCTATTCCCAATTAATAACTTTGGTAAAGTATTCTAGTTCCGGTCCCTTAATTTCCACAAAACATAACCAAAAGAATTAGATTTAATTTATATTATTTGGAAATGAAAGAGATGACTATTCCATTACCAATTAAACGGCAATAATAACCTGTAGTCTTATAGCCCATTGCTTGAAGCTTTTTCGATACTTCCTCCCATAATTCTACCCTTGACCGTCCTTTTTTATAGTGTTTATTGGATGGGTCATACAGATATGGTGAATTGCGAACTGTATCAATTAAAGCATGATTGTAATCCTTAAATTCCATCCTGAAAAGAAGGGAAAAATAGTTTAATCATAAAAGCAAATTATTTTTTATTATAAAGCGTAATGTTTATAAGTCTGCAGATAACCAGGAGGATAGCGAAATACTAATAGAGAAGGAGAAGAGAGAAAGACGATCCGTGAATTGTAAATTGAATTCTTGAGAATATTACGTGATTAATAGCATGAAGTAAGTAATAAAGAAAAGAGAAAAAGAAAAGACTACTTTACGTTAAGCGTGCAAAATTTCCGGATAAACAATATTTTCAACTAATTTAATACGAAAACAATTAAATAAAAATCACTGCAGGATAAAGGGAAAATTCGAAATCAGAAATTTGCGGGCAAATAAACGAGAGTGATCATTGAAATATTGATGCATATTTGAAAAATTCGAAAAATAAGAAATGACCAGAATTCTGCTATTCCAAAAAAGATAATTCTATCTGAATGAAATGATTTATTGCGAAAGAAAGAAAAAAATAACATGCTAATTACGAACATTTGCTCAAACCCCAAGACAAGTCCATATCTCGAAACATTTTCGTATGGTAGTTAAAAGCAGAAAATGTTATGTGCAACGAAAAATGTTTCCGCAACGTAAATTACAGCTAACTTTCATACTGCCGCCAATCAACTTCATCAGCTTACGTCAAAAAATCAAAAACCGTGAAAACGAAAATGAACGACCAGCAAGATTTGACGGCCTGAATCAATGTCCTTTATGTAAACAAGCTGTCCCATAGTTAGCTATTTCCATTTTTGGAAACGGATTGAGTGTTAACATAGTTTAAGATACCAACAATGGCTTTGAAAATCTTTAAATTTATCTAAAGTTTTGCAAGTATATTTCAACGTATAGTTTTGTTGATTTTCCAGGAAGAAGGAGATATATAGTGAAAAGAAGGTGAATATCAAATAGAAAGTAGTAAATACTAATTAGTTTCATTGAATGGAATTAATTTGTCGAATTTTCTTAAACATTAAGGTTTTGTTAGTGTAGTTAGCATTTGATATTAAAATATGCTTGGAACATTTCGTTACCATTATACGTGGCGTAAGTTCAGCGTGAATTTTTATTTTATCGACAGTTAATTGATAAATTTGTAGATGATAAAAATCTTACCTCTTTATCGACAAATCGATATTTGTCTGTTCTAACGGAAGGACCGGTTGATATTTGGATGATAATGAAGGAAGAAAAAGATACGGTGAAAAAAACTCTTTTACGACGTCGTAGTGATCCAACTTCAAGCCATGTTGGCACACTTGATACGTAATCGTTTTATATCTTTTAATGCTAGGTGATACGAAGGAAGGAATTGCTTACCTTTTCTATAGATATTCTGGGTTAGTTTAGACATTTCGCAACTAAGTTTCCAGGACTCACAAATATAAACGAGGAATTAATTAAACAGTATCCCTTCTTATCCTCATTATTTTTAATGTATGCTATCACTAACATTTCTGGAATTCCGTTCGCAAGAATCGACAAAAGTGATGACAAGGCGAGAAAGAGCGAAGAAGGGCCGCAGTGTTTATTTCCATTCACTTTTTGCATTATCTTATGCCAACGAATATTCTCATTTTTATCTGGCTCATTTTTATACTGAATATTTTACATCATATACCTCATATTACACGCATGCCTGTGTCTGTTTGTACGCTTTTTTCTCCACATATTTACTATCCTCATACATACATATGTCCAGATATGTATATATACAGAAGTGTGAATTTCTCGCAACAGCACAAGCATTTTTACTACTTAACGACATTCTCTATTAATCGTCAGTCTGGTGGTATATTCCAACTTCCATTTTATTTCTAATCAGTATTAGCCATGGAGACGCTACTTTATGATAAACGACACATTTTTTCCATGGTTACGTAAGAATTTTCACAATACATCTTGAAATTTCGTAATTTAATTTTAATTGATATTTTAAGACAATTTTGGATTTTGCAGGATTGTGGCAGCCGAATTACCATGGGGTTCGTTGAAAGTGATTACTATAAGTGGTGTTGATTTTACATCCCCACCAGGTCATTTTGCTGTTAAGTCATTATTACAAGAATTATTCATCCTTCTCGATCGTAGAGTTCATTCTATCGAAGATGGAGACATTGTAAGTTTTGGTTGCCTATTCCTTTGGGGTCCACTTCGTATTCTCACTATAGTGTTTTTTAATTTGCTAATAGCTCCTGGCTTTTAGCCATGTGATTGGATGCAAGTGTTTTATTGTGATAAACTGTTAATTATATTTTGTTTTTTTCGGTATCATTTACATATTTCCTTCTTTTTGGTTTTTTTCTAGCTTCCTCAAAGACTGTAAGCAGTCATTACAGTGGATCAAATCATAATGATAATGAATTTGTAATCTGTTCGTCGTTAAATTCATGACTATTTTTTGCTTTGAATACATTTGGTGTTTCTAGAGTTTTATATTTTTGTTATAGGAACGTAATATTAACAAGACACTTCAAATTGGGGATGACACTTATATAGAAAATCTTCTACGAGTCTTTAACATACTTTGCGAACATTGCTTGCCATCTATTCTTGCAACATTGATAACGTGGTATGAAAAACAACTGAAACGTTTCGAGGGATTGAGGTAAATTGTTCAGTCAATTAAAACTTGTTAGCTTGCTAATCTATTTTACAATTGTGTATTTTGTGATTTTTACACCTAAACAATAAATCTATCTATATATTTTGTCCATCGCTTTGGCTAGTTTTATAAATGAATACTTTTGATTATACGGCGTAAAAATCAGAAAATATACAATTGTAAAATAGAAGCAGTAGTTAATTAAGTCAAATGATTCCTCCATTTTTTCGTATCGACTAACTTTAAAACTCTGGAAATTGCAGTGAAAAAACCGCGAAATCAGATGAACAACGTTTAGCAATCAATTATCTGTTTTGCATCGTATTAATTGAAGTTTTACCGCAGCTACACTTTTTTCCCACCATTTGTGATAATTCCGTATCTTACATTGTGGCTTTGGCATTTGACGAAGTTGCATATCGTGAACTGTACGTTTTTACGAAATCTTTATTTCTTATTTAGAGGAAAGTTTAAATCTAACAATAAGGAAGTAAGTAAGTAAATTATATAAGTTAAAATAACTTACCATTATGCAAAGTTATAACTTTCAGACAACGTAATGATAAGTTAATAGTAGAACTGAAATGACGGAATAATAATATTAAATTAGTAAGTAAGCAGTTAAATTCAATCCAACATGGTTGCATTCAATCTAATTGTGCATCGGTGTACGACCTTGGCAGATCTCCCTATATATCGGCTAATACAGCGAACATTTCTTAATACATGAACTCTGGATGAACTCTAAAAGGAGAATCCAATGACTCCATTTAATATGAATTGTATAATAGCCATGCTATGATTATAAAATTTTATAGAGTAAAGGCAAAGTAATTTTTCCAATTTAAAAGTGAATAGTAATGTATGTTGCTTATCTTTCAAATGTAAATATGAGGTAGTTAGGTTTGATTTCTGTACGTAGTTTTTCTTTTTAATGCCCATTTTATTATCTCGATATTGTCATTAGTTCGATTTCCTATTAATTTTTAATTAACCTATAACTTTATTTTTTTGTGGATTTATAGTTCAGTATTCGGTTCAAATTACAACAATTATTTACTGGTAGCCGAACGTTATGCCGAGGTTCTTGGTGTTTTGTCACAGACGCACGCTGTTCTAATACAGCGAACATTTCTTAATACATTGGACGAGCTCCGAAAGGAGAATCCAACGACTCGATTTAATACGAATTGTATAATAGCCTTGCTAATGGCAATGAAATTCTATAGAATAAAAGTAAAATAATTTTTCCAATTTGAAAATGAATAAATAATAACGTTACTCAGTTTTCACCTATAAATATGATATAGTTAGGTTTGATTTCAGTTTATAGCTCTTTTTCATTTATTTTTAGACCAATGACGTCGCCGAATTCGAAATTGGTGTACGTTTCTTAGATGAACTTGGACAGTATTATTTGGATGTCAAACAAAAAGATATCAAACATGCAATTGCGGGATTGTTAGTTGAGATTCTTCTTCCAGTTGCAGCTGTAAGTTTGTTTGTTTTATTTGTAAGCGAAAATAAATTTTTGGTTTATTGATTGGTATAATGCTTCCCCTATCTTTCCTGTTGGTTGAATTCAGATAGAATTTTCAATTGAACATTCTAAAAATTTGTTCAAATTTTTATCGATTACTTGGGAAACAGTTCAATTTTCCCAATTTAATGTATGCTTTAATTAGGTGAGAAACTAAGGATAGTCTATCAAGTTACGTGAAATATGTCTCACAGTAATTTACATGAGAATTTAGAGCCAAATGCGTTAAGCGAAAATCAAGCATTTTGTTTCAGTAGTTTTCTCAATAATGCTTAGGAATTTGAAAATTTCCAAGTTTTCAGCAAATCAAAACAGAGGCAAATATACCTGCGGTAATATCATTTGTTGATAAACTTTATGCGCCTACATTTGAACTGGTTAATAAAAAACGCGATAAAATGGTAAGAGTGGTTATATTTATTTTAAAATTTCTATTTCAATATAATTTCTGGTGTGGTTGAAGGACTTGTCATTTCGCAGTTTAAAATTTGTGCCCCATTCGTTCTGTTCTAATTGTTTCTTTACCTTTAAGGTGAGATAATATATTTGCACATGATGATAAATGTATTTTAGGCAGCATATCCGTTGCTAACATGCTTACTGTGTATTAGTCAGAGTAAATTTTTCTTAATGAATTGGGCACAGTTTCTCAATTCTACCTTGGCAAGTTTGAAAAACAAAGATCCGAAAGTATCCAGAGTTGCATTGGAATCCTTGTATCGCCTGCTCTGGTAAGTATTTTTGTTTGTTTCTAAAGTGGGTAGGATTCATGCATGCAATAACCAAATTTTTTTGGATGATTTATTTTACAGGGTATATGTGATACGAAATAATTGTGAAGGTAGTACCGCTACGCGAAATCGGTTGGAATCAATTTGTAATTCATTATTTCCGAAAGGTAACCGAGCTGTGGTACCGCGTGATGCACCGTTGAACATCTTCGTTAAAATTATTCATTTTATAGCGCAGCAAAAGCTTGATTTTGCTTTTAAGGTATGTAATACTTTTCTTTCGGTGATGTCCACTACGTTTTAGTTCACATTTGCAATAATTTTGATTGAGATATATCGATGCATAAATTTCGTTTCTTTTTAGCCTTTTGAAGATATAACATCATTATATAACTGCGTCGATTTGTTAAAGAGTGATGAATTAAAACTTTCTTAGATAAGTTTTTCATTTAAATTTTCAGGAAATAATATTCGACTTGTTGGGTTGCAACAGGGCGCACAGTGTACTGAAAAGTTCGATCTATCCCGAACGTATGAATATCGGAATACGAGCATTAATGGTTATAGCAAATAGCCTGCAGCAGAAGGAAGGACCGCCTGATATGCCACGTTCAATGGGTAAGGAAAAATTGCTAATGATAAATTATATTCGATTTTGTTTGATTATTTCAATTTAGTTAAAATGTGCTAAATTTCAGCTCTAAGTTCTTCCCAAAGATTGAAGAAAACATACATTTCTCGTCCTCTAACAGCTGAAATTGCTCGTTCAATTGGCATTGAGCTTTACTACGCACCATGTAGACGAGCTTTTGATTCAATTCTAAGAGCATTGGATTCACAGGTATGTTGTCTTACTTTGTTAGAATTGTTCTGTAATACTTAACTGTTTATGATATATGAGGTATTTGATTAATTATACATTTCGAACTTTGCTAATAAGTAGCGCTGATTTATAGCAATAATGGAATAAGAATTAGAAACTACTCATTTTAGTAATTATTTGCTTGTGTTGGATGACAATTTACAGAAGCTTAGATTCTGTTATAGGTTGGGAAGCCGTTAATGATGACTGCTGCACATGCTCGAGGGAAAGAACCGGAAGAGCTGTTAACGTAAGTTGGAACATTGAAAAAGGCTTATTAGATTTGAGAAACTGGGTATCATTTAGCTTCAACTATTCTTGATAATACAACGTTACTTAGTGATACATTTAAAATGAAATTAGATTTCAGAGGTGACGTAAAACCTAAGTTGGATCTATATCGTACTTGCATTGCAGCGATTCCACGCCTTCTTCCGGAATCAATGAGTCATTCGGTATGCTGTTCTGGACGAATTTTCTGAGAGAACATATGAAGCTTCTTCGTATGATAATTATGGATAGATTAAATAGAAACCAATAAACTCTTTTTATTTATTCTATCGCAAAAATTTTTTCTCATTTCATCAGCTTTTCAGCTTATTAAAATATGATGTGATTTTCCATATTAAATTCAAATGTTTTGTATCATTCATAAAAAAGTATGTTTGTATTGATTTTTTAAGGAACTTGTCGAATTGTTAGTGCGAATGAATGTGCACATTGACGAAGAACTACGAGTGCATGCCGCGCAATCGTTGCAAACGCTTATGAGCGAATGTGCAGAATGGCGTGAAGATATTATCCATTCTTACCTTAATTATATGATAACTCAGTTTTCTGTAAGAGTTTTTTCTCGAATATCAGTTAAGGATCCAGGAATTTATATTCTTTTATCTGCTGATTTTTATTCCCTTCATTCTTTTGTGTAAAATCCTAAAATTCATTATTTCAATATTTTTTCTATAGAAAATATGAAATTTGAAAGGAACATTATCCGCGATGTGATTTTATTTTATGACGAATTCAATATGGTTCGAAAATAACTTGTAGCAATAAAACAAATTTAATTTTATTGGTACGTAAATAATCATCTATTTTTTTTAGAGATAAAACCATTATCAAATGCGATTAACTTTCCTTCCTCAATGATCTAAATTTAATTTTTTTTGCAGGACACATATCCACTTCTACTTGATTCGTTATTACGACTTTTATACCAGCTATTGTTTACGTGGAAAACAGCTGCATATATGGAAAAAAAGCGTGAAATGAACGGTGACTCCGAGCGAGATAGCGGTTTCATTAATCCTCTAAGGTTGAATTTTTTTAAGTGCTTTTGAAGAAATTGCATGGAGGATTTAGATACTGAAATTTACTATACCCCTAATAAGACTATGTCTACAGTAAATTTCACCTGTAATAAAGCTCTCGGTTAGCGGAATGAACAATGTCCATACTTAGATATGTTTACCAGGTACTTAAGAATCCATATCTACACAGTAAACATGTAGTAAATTTGTTTAAGACAAAATTGAGAGTTAGTGGATCAGTTAAATTAGAAAATTGTGAAGCGTTTCAGAATGCAAATTTCGCCGATGTTAACAAATTCAATTGCTATCGCGTTGCATGCAGTAGAAGGTTTTGCGCTTGCAATGATGTGTCAGTACAGGACACAATCCAGAAAAATTTCTATAAATATTTTGAAAGAGGTTATTCAGATTCAAAAAATTTTTCAGTAGCGGTTTTTAAATAAGAAGCAAAATTTATTGCAAGATGGACATGTTGTAAATCTTTAGGTACGGCACTTACTAACGCTTGTAACATCGCAGCAGCATGATACACCTGTGATTGAGGTGTTAGATAATGCAACACCCTATGTGATCAATAAATACATCGAGCATGTCCCGCTCTACGAAAGAGTAATTTTTTTCCATTATTTTTGCAAATTTTTGAAGGCGGAATGAACTGGAAAGGTTAACTGACTTCTTTTTTCAAAATCATTTTTTTCCTTTAAATTTTTATTTTTATTTGCAGCAGTCATGGAATCATGATTTTTCATCGGCCTCTGATAAAATTGCATCAGTCGAAACAGATAGCTGCTTGGTAGGTTAATTTGTTAGGTAATGCAATGATCAGTACCAATGCTTGGTAGGTTAATTTGTTAGGTAATGCAATGAAAAGTAATGCAATGATCAGTTCGATGTATAATAAAATGGGATATTGGCCTATGTTAGCTATCTAAAGAAAAAAAGCAAAATATCGACATCTTTCGATCATTCCATTCAATGTTTTGATTCGTTTTTCCCTAATTGACCAACTTTGCGCCACTTCATTTTTTTTAATTTTCATGAAGTTTCCAACACATTTGTGTTGTAAATCTTTTGCACTTATCCAACTTAGCAATCATTTACAGAAGATAAATTGACAGAATATTCAATTTGTGTAACAAATCATCATATTTATTGATTCAAATTATACTTAGTGAAATTATAATGAACTTATGTATTTATAATAATTATAGTAAGTTACAGGTGAATAGTGATATAGGCAATGAATATTTTCGGTGGGATGCATGGGCTTCTGCTCTTTCTGGTTATTGCGAACATCGTTTTCTATTAACGCAATGTCCAACAGCCGTTTTCCATGCCTGGCCTGTAGTACAAGCTCGATTGAGTGCATGCAATGGTTTTGTGGATCCAAAGTGCGTCTTAATTTTAGAATATATATAATATGTACTTATTCATCTACATGCTTTTTTAAGTTGTATATTCGATGTTAGCTATTAATATTTTTTGACAAATTAGGAAGCAAATGTTGATTAGAAGAGAGCTATAGAGAAATATAAACTAAATTTCAAAGCAGCCCAAACTTAGAATAGTCAATTAAGCAGTTTTGACAATACTTGTCTGAATTAATTGATGTGTTCGTGTACATCTAATATATTCACTTTCTGCACCGTTATCTGTAGCAAAGCTGCAATATGCATTTATTTTTTGTAAAACAACTTTTTGATGAATGACTAACCTGTATTGACTTCTCAGTCAGCATTGATCAGTCATTTATCAAGAAATTATATTTTCCTAATGAATATCTTAAAAGTGATCAATAATGTTAAAAAAATTTTGAAATTTGTAATTTATTTATTTTTTTCAAAGTTTGAAAAAAATAAATAAATTACAAATTCTTTTTTTCATAGTAATCCACAAAATGAAAATCGGGCATCTTTGTTGCGATCGTCAAAAAGTAAAGCCACGGCTTCGCCATTATGTGGTGAATCGCTTGGTCAGGATAACTATTTGGCATTGTGGCAAAAATATCTTGTAATGGCCTGCGCACTTGCACCACCTCATGCTGATTATACAGCTACCCATAGTCGAGGATTTTCACCTACTTCGTCGTGAGTTTAATTTTTTAATAAAATTTCTGCACATGCAAAAGCGAGATAAGAAAAGTTGTGTGTGTGTGTTACCAGTGTTTCTAAATTTCTGAATGCTCTGGGATTCATGACTTTTGTTTGTGTACAGCCATACTTTTAAAAATAGTCCATGATAGATCTCATTTAAAATAATCACAAATAACAGTAATCATTTCATTCCATTTAATTTTACTGAGATCAGACCTATATTTCATGAGGCTTTTTAATTCTATATTACATTAATAGTTTGAAATTTCCTTCTAAACCACGAATGGAGCATAAGTTTATGTTATCTTCACTTATTACTCATTTAGAGTGGACAATGATGTCTTTCGTTCTTTGGCGTCATCCGTCCGCGCACAACGGCCATCTGCTTCGGTGAATGCTACGTTTTTTCTGAAAGTTGTAAATATGTTACGTTGGGAACATATGACTGATATGCGTGATAGTGTCGTATTGGGTATTGGATCAACAAATCCTCTAGCATTTGAGTTAGTATTTTGAAATATTAACTCCAAATTTCAAATGCATTGATTTTTTTTATAGCTTTCACCATTTATCTGTAAATCTTATTTAATGAATTTTATCAAGTTTACGAACCTCTTTCGGTAAATCGATTACGAATTTTTATTGTAGTTTACACTTGTGATCAATAATATAGTGTATATGACATCTAATTGGCGTCTAATTGGTTTTATTTGCAGGAAATAAAATATTTTTTATTCTAAAAAGCTTTCTTTTCATCTTTTTTTTCACATGAACCACTCATACATTACTTATTGGTTTGCAGAGCACTTCTTGATGAGATGAAAGGGCTTCTAAGAGAAGTAATGGATCGGAAAAACGATAATAATGCTCGAAGGAAGAAGCGAAAAGATCTGTTACGACTACAAATAATCCGTATACTTCAGGTCCGATTTTTTCCTGAAATGATTAAAATGTTGCTTTGTTAAACTAAACATCCGATATTTCCTTATTGGCTTTTTAATCAGTCTTGTGGTGAATAATACTTTTGAGATTTAAATTAAAGTCTGTGCTTGAAACTGGAGTACTTATTTAAAAACTAGGAAGGCTGAAAAGTGTATTTTGTGGAAAAACTGGATCATAAAGTATAGTGATTGAGAAGCTGTTGACAGAGACAAAGACGGGTTAACAACCAGCTATATAGGGAAGACGTGGGGGATTATTTAAGAAGTAATAGATAAAAAAAATTGAATGAAAGAGTAAAGTTAAATGGAGAAGAAAAAATAATTTGTGAACAAAGTATGAATGGCTTCGAGCTGTTATTTATTTCGCATGTTAATACTGTGATATATTTTTTAAAGCAGAAGTTTTTTGCTCCAGATATGAGTAAAATGTTTAGGGCAGGATTAAAATTTATCAAGAAAAAGATGTGGATGGATCAGTCACTCTGTTAGTCACCTACTCGTCAAGTTTCAACAAAAATTTTTAGGTTGCAACATTTCGGGGTGTACTGCAATGTTCAGGTTGTATTGATGTTGAAAGTGGACTTTATTCTGTCCTTGTCGACTTTTTGGACTCCATGCGGCAGAATTTAGAATCTGATCAGGTTTGCCTTTTGCTCAACATTTTCACTTTATGAACGTGGGAATGAAAATGGAACGACTTGAGCGACAGTCACACTAATATGTTGAACTATTACTATTAAAATGCAACATTATTGTTAAGAACTTTGTTTGCATTTTCTTGTTAGTTATATAAGATTAGTTTTTATTTTCTCATCTATAAAAATTTTTAGGATCGTGATATGTTGTTGTTAACAAGTTTGCGATTGCATTTTGCAAAAACTGTGGCAATGATTATTAATAGCATTGCACGTATGGTTTTGTACTACGTTAACTTTATATTATGGCATTAATATATGTTTTTTCATCGACTCACTCTGTCAAGCCCATTTTATCTTGGACGTAACTAAAAATGCATACGAAGCGTTCAAATGTTAACAGTTTAAAACTTAATTCTTATATCAGATGCTATCTCTTCGTTAATTTAGTATTCTGATTATTAGGTGTTTGTTTATAGAAATATAGAATAATCAATTCTATTTTGCAGCTGAAAAAAGGCGAAACTTGTTGGGAAATAATTTGAAACAGAATTTGTTTTTCTTATTCACTTCATGGTGTAGTAGAAGCATTGCATCTGATAAAAGGTTAGTTTTGAAGGTGAAAATTAGGATGGATTAAAAATTTCTGAACTTGAGGAAGTTTGATTCCTTATAGTTACGTTGTGTTTGTATTCAGGCACGACGGAAACATTGGAACATACGTAGAACAACGAGCTGTTGAAGCGATGTGTGCTTTATTATGTTGCGGACCAATATTTGAACCGATTAAAGCTATTGGAGAAGATGGTTATTTGTATGGATGGCTAGGAGCTTTGCTTGATTCAGATAATCCTCTGGTAAGGTTTTGTATCATGGAAAGGCAAAGAAGCTTATATTAGATTAGGATTTTCTTATAATGGAATCCGACATTTCCTGAATTTGAGATTAAATTCATTCTCAATGTAAAATTTTTGTAGACTACTATTTTTTCAACTAGAGTTGATAAATGAAGTATGGTGCCTAATCTTATTATTATAAATCGGTTGATTTTCAAGCTCAACCAAGAAAAATTCTATGTTTTGCTGGTTATCACAGACGTGAATAAAGATATGAACTAATGAATCCTATCTATATTCGTGCTATGGATTCATTGGAATAACATTAAAATAACAATATGTACACTTCGCCTAAATTTTCATCTTTTAAAGATTTTTGCTATTCTGGAAAGAAAATATTCAATTACAGCTCGAAAAATTGTTCGAATCTACGTTAAGTACGATGCTTGATTTGAATGATGAAACATCGCAACTTCTCGAATGGACAATTAATGTTTGCTATTCCAAACCTGCTTATGTGGCAGCAAAAAGCTTCCGTTCATTGGTCATGCTTTTCTCCCGAAGGTGAGCTTGTAATTATTACTAGGAATGCATTATGCTATTCCTTATTCAACGCTTACATTCTAAAGTTGAATACGTAGATTATAAATAAGGAAAAGAATGTCGTTGATAGTTGTAAGCAGTAAGTTAAAAATGATGTAGCCTGTCTAAATATTTTTTTTCTAGCATTTGCTGTTGATTTGATCTTCGCATTCTCTAGTTGATTCTACGATTGCTTGTTGAAATTTTCCTTTTACTGAGCTCACAACTCGAATTGAGACGGAAGCTTAGGAATGTAGGCAAATTAGCAACGAATGTTGCAGGATCAACGATCAATTTTTCCGCCCAACAAGAGTTGCTAATAAAAAAACAGATTACTCAATTCTATTCAATTCCAGAGAATATCCTTGTGAGTTCGATTCATTGTTTGTCCTCTGTCAGATGTTAGCAGGGGACAGTGATACACATGTTTCTGAACCCGCGGTGCAGCTTCTTCATCTTCTGCGACGACAGTTTCTTGATGATTCCTTGACTACACCAAATCTTACCAATTTGCATAATTTCTCATCGAACCAAATCGAAATTTGTCGTTTGTTAGCAAAAACATATCCAAAAATAACGATGTCGGTTTTTTCAGGTACAGTAAGTATATCACTCAAATTTCGAAACATTGCAAATCAGTTTGATTGTTTTGATTGAAAAAAATTTAACTTAGCTTGATTAGTCAGCAGTTAAACAGAGTAGAATGTGTATGTCAGAAATTTTAATGAATCCAAAACGACGGCCTCAGAAACTATTGAAAATATACAGAAAATAACGATAGTTTGATTGATATATGGATCGAACATGGCAGTAATTTGTCGTTATTTCAGAAGTTTGCTTTCGTGTTGAAAGTGATAAATGCAACAGAAGAACTGCTATATTATCTCTGCTTTCTGCATGGTTGGAAAACATTCAGCTTGTGGATCCTCAAGCAAGTTATATTAAATCATTAAATCATTTTATTATTGGTTGGTAGCAGCGCTATGTATAATAGTCGACATTTAGAGGATAGAATTGAAGTTTATCCTTACAGCAAATCAAGGAAAAAAATATGAGAATCTATTGATATAGTGATATCAGGTAGAAAGGTGCGATCACTTTCAGGAAGACATTGCTGCACAGGAAAGTGACGGGGTAAAATCAAGATGGGGTTCAACCGAAGCAACTCAGCTTATCCTGAATAATCTCCTTTATTTAACAGTAACATTGTCTGATGTGCATTTCAAAGAAATATCATTACTGTGGAACACGTTATCTATATCACACCCAGCGAATTTGCCAATAATTGTGAACTATCTGTTTGTGATGGCTTCCTTGTCGCCTGATATGTTGTTGCCACATGTATGTGATTATTATATTTTGCTATCTTTTGATCAAACAAACATATAGTAAGCATTACAAGTTTTGATAACTTATGAAGATGAAACTAAAGTTGGAAATTGGAAAGTGGAGTTACACTGTTATAATACCTTTTGCTACATGAGCGTTGCATTGAAGAAATAGTAAATGAGAAATGATTCTGTTATTCAAGTTATTTTGCTTCACCACCAACTTTGAACTACATTTAGACGAAACGTGTATGCTGTTTCTTGATGGATTTAAGTGCGCGTAACTTGCTCAAAATTCTAATGAATGAAATGGATTGTGTAAACGAGCAATTCAAAGCAAATTTGGAACGATGTGAAATGCCACCATTCTACCGTTTCCAGAATATCTTGGAAACACCATATGAAAAACAAATAATAACAAAAATGAAGGAGACCGGTATATGTACTGCCGAAACAGAATCCGCTAGTCCA